GCGGACACCTCTTGGAGCCCGGCATTCGCATGGCATGCAGACCTCCTGCCTGTGCTCCTGCTTTGCTTTCCCAGCAGCGAAGGGCAGCACGGCGCTGCCGGAGCGCGGAGGCCCCAGCCCCAGCCCCAGCCCGAGCGGCAGCGGTGGACTGAAGCTGCAGAGGTGCAGGAACGCCGCGGCGGCAGCATCGCTGCAGAGCCCCGCAGCAATGCCAGGGCTCTTGCTCTGGAGTCGGCCTGCGCAGAGGAGATCTCGAGCCACGCTGGGAAGGCCAGGGAGGCTGAGCCCGGAGCCTCAGTGCCGGAAACAAGCAGCTCAGCCCCAAGCATGCTGGGGAGAGCAGATAAGCCCAGAGGCAAGCGCTGGCCCAGGGGCCGGCCGGGGCTGGAGCAGAGCTGTTTCAGGAGCTCTTTGTGCTCCTCTCCCCACTGCTCTAGGGTCTCTCGGATCCAGGTCCCCTGCCAGGGAGCAGGTGCTTTGAGAAGCCCTCACGCCCTGCACGTGCCGTGGGCCCGAGCAGCCCCAGGCTGGTCCCCAGGCAGCCTGGGGGGTGCTGAGGGGACTGTGCACCCAGGGCAGAGGGCAGCCCTGCCGGGGGGTCAGGCATCGTCCCTGCAGGAGGGAGGTGGGCTGCGGGTGCAGCAGCAGGGGTATCCATCCGATGCACCCTGGCTGACCTACTGCGGAGCAGGGTCCAATCAACAGGGTGCACCAGCCCATGGAGTGGGCCGGAGGCACCGCAGCATCCCACCTGGGGCACCACGGAGCAAGATCTGATGTCCCAGGGAGCAGGGGCAGGTGCGCTCGTGCATCAGCTGGTGCATCGCTGAGCTGGGCACCGCAGCGCTGGTCTGATGCACCATGGTGGGATCTGATGTACCACAGCGAGGTCTGACGCACCATGGTGAGGTCTGATACACCACACTGGGGTCTGATGCACCATGGAAGGGTCAGATGCACCACGGCGGAGTCTGATGCACCACGGCGGGGTCTGATGCACCACAGCAAGGCCTGATGCACCACGGCGAGGTCTGACGGACTACAGTAGAGTCTGATGCACCACGGTGGGGTCTGATGCAGCACAGTGAGGCCTGATGCACCATGGTGAGGTCTGATACACCACACTGGGGTCTGATGCACTATGGAAGGGTCAGATGCACCACGGCGGAGTCTGATGCACCACGGCGGGGTCTGATGCACCACAGCAAGGCCTGATGCACCACGGCGAGGTCTGACGGACTACAGTAGAGTCTGATGCACCACGGTGGGGTCTGATGCACCATGGCGAGGTCTGATGCACCATGGAAGGGTCTGATACACCATGGTGAAGTCTGATGCATCACAGTGGGGTCTGATGCACCACAGTGCACCAGCTAATGCCCCACAGAGCCGCGGCCGGCGCAGCAGGGCCGGGCAGACCCGGCCAGGCACGCAGTGCCCCGTTACCCCCACGCCCCACTCCCC